TAATGGAGTTTCAAGAAAAAAAAAAAAGAGGATTATTAGTCAGGAAATCGATCTTAAGAATTCCAAAATGTGCCTGTCATGTTTTCCAGTAAAATTAAGCATAATTTGAAATTCCGGCCGGAATTTGATTAAGAAAACCACTGCTCGGACGTACCGTTGCCAGAAAAAGTACTGGGACTTCTGATTCTGGTACAGTGGCCGAAAATTTAACACGTTTGTTCGAAACTTTCTCGACAATCATATCCGGAAATATCTGCGAATTGATCAGTACACGCTGATTGCCTACGGCTCGTCCAACTGAAAAAATTTGTGTTGTACTAACAAAAACAGTCCATCCAAGGGTAAAGTGAAACACCGGATCACCGTAACACAAAGAAATGCTCTCTTCCTCTCTGGCGGGTGTCTTTTTTTTTTTTTATTTTTTCATATCATTCATTTATTGCGACCCTACGTTTTATGAGCCTCAATCCAAACTTGTTTTTACTTCCTTTATTTCTCAGTGAATTAGACTCCAATCTGTTCTGAAATATCTCGTCTGTTCCGAAATACTTTTCTAAAACATAAGCGGATTCATGAGGAAGGAGGACGAAGAGTTTTTCATCCCTCCCCCCACCGCCCCCCCTTCTCCTCCCTAGCGACACAGGCACCAGTGTTGCCTTCCGAAAACCCTGGTCCGGAGTATCGGAATCAACGCGTGTCACTGGTCTGCCACGTCCTGCCAAACTAACCCTATTAACTGGCCGCCTCGACACGTCTAGCGTTTCATTTCCGCTGAATAGCTTGTGCCCGTGAAATTTTTTTACGGGTAAATTATCTCGGGAACCACGGGGTCAAGGAAGCCGAAATTTTAGGGTAATGATCCCCTGTCCATGCTCAACCTTGCCTATTCAAATTCAACGTTCCCGCGCTTCTGAGTATCACCTACAGCCTCGTGAAAATTTTGGCCGGTAAACTATTAACGCGGGAATCGGCGCCCTGGCTTGTCGTTTTATTGAAGTGATGTTGGGAAGAGAGACGTTTACTGGCATTTTAAGTAAAAAAAAAAAGCATCAAAGAATCCGAGTAAAAAGAATAATGTTACTAACCAATACGATGTGCTAATGAAAAGCCCGTCCTACTTTGATTGATCCTTAAAGAGATCATTCCACGCTCCGTCCATTTTTTCGTTTCCGTATCGAATGAATGCAATTTGCATGTGGTCTTA